AGTATTATAGTAATTTTTCCTTTTTATCTATATTTTTGAACCATTTATATAAATATTTGTAACAAGATATTAAATTCCATCAGATCAAACCAATAGAATTTTATGCAACACATTGACGCATCCAAGAGCTTCATTTAAGTGGGTTATTAAATAATATTTAACAAAATAAATATGTTGCAAATTGATTGGAAACAGTAAAAGTAAACATAATAATATTCATATTTACCATCTAATTGTTTGATAATAAAATTATTGATTAGGAAAAATAATTTAAGAAAGAATATTGTGAAACTGATACCTACACCCTAATAGTTTAAAAGCTTGATGTGTAAAAGGTTTAATTGGAGAAACATTTCAAGAAACAAATGTAATAAAACTTATACTTACAGACTGAATGTTCAGTGCATAAATCAATTGTAAAAGTGGTTAGAGAAGATGTTTTTATGGAAATAAGCATAGTAAAGCTTATACTCACCAACTAATGGTTCAATAAAGGAAATTAATTAAAAAATCAGTTAGATATTTTTAAGAAAAAATTATAAATAAACCAATACTTACGTGCTAACGTTGTTTTGATTAATAATCAATTAATTATATAATCGATTGGTAAACTTTTTTAGAAAATAATTAGATTATTCTTATCACCTAATAATTTGATAAAACAATTGGATGTAAAAAAAAAAAAAATAGAGAATTATTTTAAGCAAAAAATACAAATAAACCTATATTTACGAACTGGTTGTTAATAGAATTGTTAAATTATGAGATGGATTGGAGAATTACTTTAGAAACAAATACAATAAAATGTATACTTGCATTCTGACAGTTGAGTACAATAGAATTAAAAATCAGAATTTTTTTTTTTTTTTTAAAAAAACAATAATACAACTTATACTTATGGTAGTGGCAAAAAAAATGACAATTTCCTTTTATTTGTAAAAAATTATATTATGAAAAATTTTTTTATTAAATTAGTATTAATATTAATTAAAAATTAATTTATTACTATTTTAAAATAATAATAGAATTATATATGATTTTATTTAATTTTTGTTTTTTTTTGATATTAATTTTTATTAAGTTCAAATATTAAGAAGTTAATAAATCAAAAACCTTATTAATTATTTAAATAAAAATAATATAAAAAGAGTTTATAACTTTATAAAATTATAAATTAAAAATAAAATAATTTTTTTGAATTTTTTTGAATTTTTTAATCTTGTATAAAAAAATATTTATATAGTTATTACATTATTATTTTTATAAATATTTTTTTAAAAAAATTTTTTTATAAGATAATAATTTTATTTTTATAATTAACAAAAAAAAATTTTTTTTAATAATATATTTATAAAAATAAACTATATTTTTTAATTTATATTTTGCAACATTATAAAAAATAATTATAATAATTATAAAAAAAATTAATTATTATTTAAAAGCCTCGCGTGTATCGCACTTAGCCCCCCCCAAAAAAAAAAAAAAAAAAAATTAATTATTATTATTTTATTATTATTATATATATAATTAAAAAATTTTATTTAATATTTGTAAATAAGTTTAAAGTCTCTATCTTATAATAAATTTATTATTTAAAATATTTTTAAAAATAAAAAAATAACAACTATTTTATAATTTTTTTTTATATAATAATAAAAATTTTTAAAAAAATTTAAAAAAATTAATTATTTTTTATTTGTAATTTTATAGAGTTATAAAATTTTTCTATAAAATTTTTTTTTAGAATATTTAATAAAATTTTAAATATATAGACTTATAAATATTTGAACTTAATAAAAAACCAAATTTAAAAATAATAAATTTAAATAAAATTATATATAATTCTATTAATATTAATTTAATAAAAAATTTTTTCACAATATAATTTTTTACAAATGAAAGAAAATTGGCATTTTTTTTTGCCGGTACTATAATAGTAATATCCGTTATTTATTATAATAATGACGTCATAATAAACTTGTACTACACTCTTCATATAACGGCCGCTCCATATAACGACCGATTCTGCCCAGCCCGAGGTGGTCGTTATAAAGAGAGTTGACTGTAGTCAAACCTTTATATATATGTATATAAAAAACTTACTATATTAATAAAACTAGAGAATAGTCTCATTTTAGCCGTAAAAAAAAAAAAAAAAAAAAAAAAAAAAAAAAAAAAACTATTAGTTTTATAATTAGTTTTTTTAATATTTTTTTTTATATAATATTTTTTCTTTTAAATTTTTATTTCTCTTAAGTCTTATTACATATATTTCTAAATAAATATTTATAACTATTTGATACTATGCATAAAGTGGCTGCAGCACCTTTATGCATTAAGGTAATCAATTATGAACTAAATCTGGCAGTAATGCCATTACTGACTCCTCTTGCTATACATCAAGCCATATTTGAAAAGCAAGGGTACTAATTCTACTCATGACTTGGAGGCCAACTTGTAGAATTATGGCTGCAGTGTCTTCATGTGTTTAGGTAATCAAACTACCTCTAGGAAACTAGATACCACCTAAGATATTTATATAGGTTTTGAAATTCATTTTACTATATATCTTGGAGGTGCCCAGAGCATAGATGGAGAGCCACTGAGCCTGGTGTTTAACTCTATTAAGTTTAGAAAGATATATATCTTTTTTTGTAAATTGTAAATCTTGTCTCAAGTTTAAAATTATAATAAAAAATCTAAAAAGATTATCATCTTGCTCTTTAAAAAAAAAAAAAAAAAAAAATTACTTGATACTATTTCTAATATGTATTGGTTTTAATATTTATTTTCCTTTACTGTTTAAATAGTTTACTATAAACAAGTTAACATTAAACTTGCTGACCACTTGATTACATAAAAGATGTTGTTACTTTCTTTATATAAAAAATTTTATATTTTTATAAAATAATAAAGTGATGATATTTATTTAATTATAAAAAAATTTTTTTAATTTTTAACTTGTTTTAAACAAATATTTTTATTTTTAATTATATTTAAAAAAAAGAAATAAAATAAAAATATAATACAATAAAAATAATTTAAAAAGCTAACAATATCTTATATTGTTATTATTCAAAGTATAAACTTAGCAACTATTATATATAGATAATTCTTTTCAAAGGCGAACAGGAATTTTTCGATCACTATAATTGTGATCCTAAAATTTACATTGTATATGTATTGTTTAAGAGTAGGGACCGAAAAAATCATATATAGCATTTTTCTGCCTTCGAAAATAATTACCCATATATACTGTATATTTTATAAGTCTGATATTATATGAAAAAAACAAAAAACAAAAAAAATTATAAATCTAAAAAACTAGAATTTATTATATCATATGTATGTTTGCTTCTATATCTTGTATACTTGGAGCTTAACTATTCAAATAAGATATTTCTAAAAAGTTATCAATATATTGCTTTGATCTTATATTTGCCCAATATAGAAAATATTATTCAGAAGAAAAAAAAATAGATATAGGTTTTTTAAACATCTTATAGTTGTTCAAATATCTTTTAAAAAATTTAAACATATTAATTATATATTAAAATAAAATTTTTCAACAAATCTTAATTATAACAATATTTAAAAGCTTTGGTTTACAAAACGTTTAATAAAGCCATATTTAATTTAAATACAAATAAATTATTTGTTATTATTAACTCAATTTACAATTGTACACCGAAAAATGTTTATCAACTGAACGGTCTGAAAGTATCAGTGATTCTTTTTGTCAAAAATTTTATTTATATTATTAAAAAAATAAAATAAAATAATTGGAACTATAAACAAATGAAAATTATAAACAATGAATTAAATATGAAATAGGATATAAAACGAGACTTAGTCTATGTTTTCATATAAGCGAATTTTTGCTGACTACACTGGATCTCATACGTACTATAATAATAATGATTTATGATGATTTTGAGTAAATGCCAAATAACATAAATAAAATGGTATCACACAACTCCTAATCGTTGTATAAAATTGTATAAATACATAAAATGAATGTTGGAAAATCAATCACATTTGTGTGAGGGTATCCCTCTTTCTTCTATTTTGTTCTAATCTCTTGCGTATTGATTCCAATAATTCATCATCCGTCAAGGCAGACTCTTCCTCTATACTAGTGTCATCATCATTTTCCTCGTCGGAATCAACAGGCCCTAGTTTATTACTTTTCACGCGTAATCCTTTAAGCTGACCAATCAGACCTTCGGCATCTGCCCTATTAACCTCCCCGTTTTTGCTGGATTCTTCGATCTCTCTTTCAAGGTCACCTAATAACTCACCAAGGACTTTATCGGGAAACATTTGTCCATAGGTTGCGCCGAAGAAATGAGATAACTTGCGGTTACTTCTCAAAGTAACCTTTTTGGCATCTGTACTTTGTGATGACAAACTTGAATTTGCTGAAGGTATACTTGAGTACGGAGTCGCTGGTGCCGATGATGATGACGTCGATGGACGTTCTTTACCATCTAATTCTTCTCCATTTTCATCACTGTCCGCCATGTAATTAATAAGATCATAAACAGCCTCCTTATCGTTATCCATCAAATATTCAAGTGAAATAATACTCCTTCGATGGAGCTCTAAACTTGAGGTTTCAGATATACCTGAATAGTACTCCCGTCTCTTCGGTCGTGACTCAGGTAAGAATAAATTCTGCGGGGGAATTTCTCCGAACAAGTTTTCCAATTT